AATACTTTCTTTCTTACGTTTGTGTAAACTTTACAACAAAATGATACTTGTTCTTTTCTCTTCGTTTTCTTACCCAGCGCAGTGAATTTAACTTAAGGTACAACAAGTATCTGTTTGTAATGGCTCTGAGTAAGATCAGACTTCCCTTCTTATATTCGTATAGTCTAGAAAATGTTATCCAAGAGAAATAAAGGAAGAGAAATAAGTCATATAAAAAAATGAGCAACTGGAACCCCCCCTTTCCTCCAGAAATACTCGACCAAACCTCTAACCGAGAAGTTATGAGAGCTGATTACAGTAATGAATGAGCAGAAATTTTAAGGCATAAGAGAATAATATAAGGTAGCCAGGATTTTAGAAGACAGAAATCAAGGGAGAACAGATATGCATGAAGGTGAATCTTGGATTTCACAAATCACTTTTCCGGGGGCATTGTCTGACTCTCAGTTTAGGGCATCCTGGCAAACAGGTGTCTGTGACCCAGAGAATGTGGTTTTGGGAGACACGGGATATGGGGGACCCTGAATTGGGCTATCAAAGCTGTGAGGACTTGGGGGTCCAGGATGTCAAGGGAAAGGGAATCATGGGGATGGGAACCTGGCATCTGCTGGACTTTGGTCCTTGATGTATTTGCCCAAGACCAACTTTCCAGGAATCAGAAGGAATGAGCCCAAGCAAAACTTTGCTGCAACTGGTCTACAGAGCTCAGCAGAACTTTTGGAATCTTCAGTGCTAAGGAAACAAAGGTGTCTCAGACCTGTTGTTTCAAGGACAAGATCTACTACTAAAAACCGTGTTCTCTGGGTTGTGACCCAGAAGGGGATAAGCACTAGGAAAACCACATGCCTGAAATGCAGCTGTGAATCATTCCAGTGACGGAATGGGTCAAAGTGGTCACTTTGCTCCCAGAAGAACATTAAATACTCCCAGTAGAACATTAAATACTCCCAGTGGAAGGTCACAACATACAGAACCTCTAGCATGGCTTATGCACAAGGTCTGACATTCAATCAAAAATTACCGGAAGTGTCCAGAAACAGTGCGCAATGTCTGCAACCAAGAGGGAGGGGACAGATAAGGAGCAAGATATCCTGACGTAGCAGTTATCATTCAGGACTCTGACAGTTAACTATGGTGCATGTGTTTAAAAGATAAGTGAAATAATCAAGAATTTTGCCAGAAAACTGTAATCTATAACAAGTCAAATGGAAGTTTAAGAATTGCAAGATACATTATCCACTATAATTAATCTATATGATTGGAACCAGAAGATGGTTTAATAAAAAAATCCCGGCTGAATCAGGAAAAAATAATGTACAGAAAGTGTGTGTACATTTGGAGTTCTGGAAGAAAGAAATTGAGAGAAAATAGGACGTAACCAGTATTCAAAAACATTACCACTAACAATTTTCCAATACTGACAATAGCCATCTAGGTAGAGATTCAAGCAATTCCATAAGCCAGGGAGGATAATACAAAGAAATCCTCATACTGGCACATTACAATAAATCTTCTGAAAAACAGGATGAAGAAATATCTTAAAAGCAGCATAAGCAAATGAATATTATTTTCAAAAGAGCAAATATAGGATTGATAGAGTGCTTCTCAGTATAAAGAAAAAAGGTAAAAAGACAACAGAATAACATATTTGAAGTGTTGGGGGAGAGAAAAGCTATTAAGTAAGAGATTTAATTAAAAAATAATTGACCAGGGACACCTGGGTGGCTCAGTTGGTTAAGCATCTGACTTCAGCTCAGGTCATGATCTCATGATTTGTGAGTTCGAGCCTCGTGTTGGGCTCTGTGCTGACAGCTCAGAGTCTGGAGCCTGCTTTGGATTCTGTGTCCCCTTTCTCTTTGCCCCTCCCGCACTCACACACTGTCTCTCTCACATTCAAAAATAAACATAAAAAAATTTAAAAGTTGGCACAAAAACAGACACTCAGATCAATGGAACAGAATAGAGAACCCAGAAATGGACCCACAAACGTATGGCCAACTCATCTTTGACAAAGCAGGAAAGAATATCCAATGGAATAAAGACAGTCTCTTCAGCAAGTGGTGCTGGGAAAACTGGACAGCGACATGCAGAAAAATGAACTTGGACCACTTTCTTACACCATCCACAAAAATAAACTCAAAATGGATGAAAGACCTCAATGTCAGACAGGAAGCCATCAAAATCCTTGAGGAGAAAGCAGGCAAAAACCTCTTTGATCTTGCTCGCAGCAACTTCTTACTCAACATGTCTCCAGAGGCAAGGGAAACAAAATCAAAAATGAACTACTGGGACCTCATCAAAATAAAAAGCTTCTGCACAGCAAAGGAAACAAACTAAAAGGCAACCAACGGAATGGGAGAAGATATTTGCAAGTGACATATCAGGTAGAATCAGTACTCAAAATCTATAAAGAGCTTATCAAACTCAACACCGAGAAAAACAAATAATCCAGTGAAGAAATGGGCAAAAGACATGAATAGACACTTCTCCAAAGAAGACATCTAGATGGCCAACTGACACATGAAAAAATTCTCAGCATCACTCATCATCAGGGAAATACCACAATGAGATACCACCTCACACCTGTCTGAATGGCTAACATTAACAACTTAGGCAACAATAGATGTTGGCGAGGATGCGGAGAAAGAGGATCTCTTTTGCATTGTTGGTGGGAATGCCAGTTGGTGCAGCCACTCTGGAAAACAGTATGGAGGTGCCTCAAAAAGTTAAAAATAGAACTATCCTACAAACCAGAAATTGCACTACTAGGCATTTACCCAAAGGATACAGGTGTGCTGTTTTGAAGGGACACATGTACCCCAATGTTTATAGCAGCACTATCAGCAATAGCCAAAGTATGTAAAGAGCCTATACACACACACACACACACACACACACACACACACACACACACACAATGGAGTATTATTCAGCAATCAAAAAGAATGAAATCTTGCCATTTGCAACTACGTAGATGGAACTGGAGGGTATTATGCTGAGAGAAATTAGAGAAAGACAAATATCATATGACTTCACTAATATGAGGACTTTAAGAGACAAAACAGATGAACATAAGGGAAGGGAAACAAAAATAATATAAAAACAAGGAGGGGGAAAAACATAAGAGACTTCTAAATATGGAGAACAAACAGAGGGTTACTGGAGAGGGTGGGGGGGGTGGGCTAAATGAGTAAGGGCATTAAGGAATCTACTCCTGAAATCATTGTTGCACCATATGCTAACTTAGATGTACATTAAAAATATAAAAAAATAAAAATTTAAAGTAAAAAAATAAATATAATTGACAAGAGGAAAAACAAAAAACTAATTTATCATTAAATCATATTCTAAATAAAAGTCAAAATTCTCTGATGAGATAAAATAATATAAATAAAATAATTAAAAAGAATACAACACAGTTATATGCTGCTTTCAAGAGGCAAACATGAAATGCATATAGTAGAGTGGGTTGAAAGTAAAAGATTAGGAAAAGGTATTCCTTGTAAGAACTAACAAAAAGAAGAAGAAATATTATAGCTTTATAGTCATAAGTCAAAGTAAATAGACATTTACACTTGACATTTATGTTCTGTGCACTTTGTGATATGTTACGTTTCGATAAAATGCATGCAAAGGGAAGAAAAACAACTCTCTTCGAACCAAACAAGCAAATACGACACCAAATATAAGAGAGCAATGTCTCTAACAAAGAAACAGTCTTCAAAAAGAAATATGTTTTTAGTGACTGCACATCACTCGCCTGCACATCACTCACTGTAATTCTTTTTTTTTTCAATTTGTGTGTAACTGCATGAGCTACTTCACATGTAATGACTATTGTTCATCTGCCTTTGCGCAATCAGGCTCTCTGTACCGCCCAAGGTGAGCGTGTTGGGTTGATAGACAAATGATGCGATTGATGGGGCGAATCATGTGTTCCTATTCCCGAAAGTACTTTGCTGAAAGCAGAGCTTCCTATTTGATTAGAGACATTTATTTTGGTTGAATTGATTTTTTTCTTACACTTTTTCTATTTCGGCATGCTTTTTGTCAGCGTGTTGAATTCAGTCAATGGATTTAGTGTTTCTTTTCACTGGCTGACAGCAGCCACTATGTGACTGTTTTATTAATGCCCAATGATTGTTTCATTGAAACTTCCATTTGGTGTGACCTAGACATTAATATGCAGAGTGAAAGTTGAGTACACTTGCCAAATCTGTTTCAGCTATGCACACACTTCTTGTTGATATTCTCTTAATGTATGGTTACTTTTGGTTTTATATATATGTATGTGTGTGTGTACATGTGTGTGTACATATATGTATGTGTGTATATTTATGTGCATATATGTGTGTATGTATGTGTGTATGTACACACACACACATATATCCTTTTCTATAATTTCATAGAGTTGGAATCGTACACTATGCAGCTTTTCAAGTTCTTTTTCATGGCTTGATAAAATCGCTCATTTCTTTTTAGTGCTGAATAATATTCCATCCTATGATGTGTTTCTAAAAGAGATGGTGTGGTAAGGTACATGATAATTGAAACTAAACAATCTGAGCATTATGTGAATGAATCAGAACACTTCTCAGCTTAGGGATGTTTCCGTGTTGATGGTGTGATGTCGTACAACCATACAGCAGTAAGAGATATCCGTCCGTCACACGGGATGACCACGGGTTCCGGATTTAGCACTCATCGTCCTGCACCTAGAGTAGGACTTCCGCTCCAGACACTAAGGGCAGTTGGTCACCCTAAGTCAGTTTTTAAAATGAAAGATACAAAATTCGATCACAGAAGAATAATTACTGTACAACGGCTGTAATATTGAAGCTGAAGTATAAATACACATTACAAGTGGCTATGGATTCTTTGAAGCAAGGTCTTACGATGTATATACCTGTACTTGTTTGTTTAAGCAGCAAGACCTTCAAAGCAAAAGTAGAGATATTTGGCGATTCAAATAACGGTTTCGACATTTCTGTCCTGTGCAGACTCACTGGCTCCAGTGTTCCTGACCTGATTGTGAGCATGAGCAACCAGATGTGGCTGCACCTGCAGTCTGATGACAGCATCGCCTCGCCTGGATTTAAAGCTGTTTACCAAGGTATGGCCGCGACGCGCTTGCCGACCCCTGAAACTAGCATGCGTGCAGTCGTCAAGGACCATTCTCAGTGAGTTAGACATAAGTAAATTTGGAATGTCACAATAATGTTTAAAAATAGGGACTAATTACTTGCAACTTCCTTAATTAGAACCCTACTTACAGTTCTTTTTGCAAAGAACTTTTAACTTGTGGAAAGCCTAGCTTGCCATGACGTGTGCCATCATTAGGTCGAAATAAAGAGCAACACTAAGTACGAAACACAAGCTATGAAACATTTTTATGCTTGTGGATATTGGCATTTTATCTCTTTGAGAGGGAGATGTTATGGTTATGACTAAGGGAAATATTTTGAACAAAGTATGACTTGGAGTTGCGTTAATTTAATTAAGCTTCATTACATACACACTCATACAAAAATGTGTGTGTGTGTTGTGTATTTTTCATGGAGAACAGAAATCTACATGAACTTGGAGGAAAATACTACTCTGAGTTCAGGTGTAGGAGAAAAATAAATGTTTTCCGGGATTTGTGAGTTATAATTACTCTGGAGATGCTGGCTTCACCTCTGAATTCACATGCAGGTGCCGTTGTCTCAGCGAGTGGTTTTCCATCATGCACTATGGCTCTGTGTTCTCATAAACCAAGGCATCGTGTTTAGTCTGGTGCATCTTTAAAAATATCCCCACTGTATTGCTCTACCTTCATTGTTTCATGTGGGAGGATTTCGTAGGAAAGAGATATCTTTTAACCTTAACATACAGGTTGGTATTTAAAACAACTATTGTGCAAAATTTTATAATGGAAACAGAAGTAGAAAGAACAGTATAAAAAACCTGAGATGATCTCTATTTGTAAACTTTTATGAACCTCCCAGATATTTTGCTCTTGACTTAAGGATTGGTTTGAGATGTAGCTGCCTGGTTGTCAGCCTCCGCCCGGTCCTCCCTCTGCTCAAGTATCCTTAAATATCATTTGGGAAACGAGTGACATTCCTACTGTGCTCCCAGACACCAGACCCATCCACAAGTCTTTATTCAATAATTACCTCTTTAAAAAGTAGACTTGTGTCTTGGTTCCAAGAGAGAAAAGAAGAATTCTTTCCCACTCTCCCCCCCCATCCCCCCCCCCCCCGCCCAAACAACTAGATCAAGCAGCTTGCCTCTCAGTTGGGGTCTTCTGAGATTTAGTTCCCATAACCCCACCTGTACATGTCTGTTCGGGAGCAGAATGGGCGGCAGTCAAAGGCATCTCTTCAGTGCCTCAGAGCACACCACAATGCTTTGGCTGATCCCTCCTGCGTTCCGGAGATGGCAAAGAATGGAGTGTGCACTAAGGGAGAGAGAGAATCATTGTTCAGAGTACAAAGAAGAAAATTGATCTTCATACTATCCAGACCTCAGGGCACCTAAAATAGCTATAGATAGGCACATCTGTTTTACCTGGCAATACACACACACACACACACACACACACACACACACACACACACACCATTTTCCTTTCACGACACACTTTGGTGTTCTCTAGATCAACAATCAAATAGTTTGACTCAAGAAAGAAACATGAAAGAGGCTTGGGAGCATGTTAAATTCTTCATTTCGGATTATACAAATGATGGGTGCAAATCCTCTGTCTTCAGTGTAGATCTTGTATGTGTTTGACAAAGAGAAAGAAATTGTTCTCTTGTGCTAAGAGATTAAATATGTGTCCCCAGATACAATAAAATTATCTCATATTAAAAAGTTTTATAAATTAATTTATAAAACCACTTAATTATGAAACTTTAAAAGATATATTTAAGTTGTCACTTGCATACACTGCCATACATTCAATGAGCCACAAACTGATTTGAAGTTACTTTTAACAAGATTGAGAACCTGTTACTGTCTTGAATGTAAGTCAAGAGAAGTCTTCTCAAGGTCAACCTTATACTGTATGCACATGCCTGTGAACAGATAGTCGCTTTATCAAAATAACCAGGAAATTACATTTTAAACCCAATCAGGGGTGCCTGGGTGGCTCAGTTGGTTAAGTGTCTGACTTCAGGTCATGATCTCACAGTTCATGAGTTTGAGCCCCGCATCGGGCTCTGTGCTGACGGCTCAGAGCCTGGATCCTGCTTTGGATTCTGTGTCTCCCTCTCTCTCTGTCCCTCCCCTACTTGCACTCTGTCTCTATCTCAAAAATAAATAAATAAAAATAAATAAAATACACCCAATCATATATTTTTATTAATACAAAAAAAAACAATTATTACAAAGAAACTATTTAAACTATAATCTAAGAAAATATACTGTAGCCATTTAGAATAAAGCATAAATCTGTGTTTTACCTATTTCCATTTTCAAAGTTTAAATACTTTCCGTAAGTTTCAAAATTTTAGGGAACTAAGAAATGATACAAAGTACTGTAATACAGTAAAAATGGTGGCAATTTTATTTGGATTATTTTACTCGAGGGGAGCTGTTAAAAAGAAAGAATTAATTTGTAAATTACTGTCAGAAAAACTTTTGAAGTCGGCCTTGGCAAAAAAAAAAAATATATATATATGTATTATGTATATATGTGTATGTATATGTATATGTGTATATATGTATATATATGTATATTGTGTGTGTGTGTGTGTGTATGTCACTACTTATTTTTTCAAAGCCCAGCTCACTCTAAGTGGTTAACGGATGAAGTAGTGATCTGTGCCCATCATTTTCCTTGAACTGTTTTACTACTCAGAAAGTTGTAGGAAACTGATAATAGGGCAGGTGATCCCTGACTACAGACACACTTGTGAACTCTGTGTAGACAGGACACGATCGATTGTCACCCAGTGGGTATAGATGACTTCAGGGTCTCTTATAAAACTCATGTCAGCATTGCTAATTGTCTGTGTCTGTTCTTTGAGTTCTCCTGTGAAATGGTTCTTCAAATGTCTTAGTGGTTCCTTCGTCACTTGCTGAGTTTATTAAAATCTTTAACATGATATGTACATGCATGTACTGATGAAAACTAGACAAATCAATCTGCAGAGATGGGATTTTATTGTCTTCACCTTTACTCTGGGGATTTGAGCAGAGATAGAATGCCGTGTCTTCTAATTGTGCGCCGTAGAGAATTCAGGAACTGACAAAGTGTACTGAGAAGTTATTGCATAGCAAGACCACTGAGACAGGTCATTAAAAAGCGTCTTACAACCCAAGACCGTAAGCAGGGTGACAGTGACGGTGTCCTGAGCTCAAGTGAACATATCATTGCATGGCTGCACCCTCCTTGTGAGCGGAAGTAGTCGTGGCACTGAAGACTTCCGGGGTGAGGCGGGCCCAGCACCAGCATCCTTACTTACCTGTAAACTGTGCAAGATTCCTCCTTGGTGGAAACATCGGATGGGATGGGGAACTGATGGCTTTTCTTAATAAGAAATTCTGTTGCACACCCCACACAAAGGTTAAGACTAGAATGCACAGATAATTGCTGAATCCTTCCTGACATTTGGATATTTCGACTTGACCTTTAATTGAACTTCTACATGACTGTACAGTTACTCAAGATAGCACAGTAGAGGTGTAATCCTTTCCACATGACCTATACTCGCTACTGCCTTTGGTGAAATCTAAGAGCCTCAGTGAAATAGCAAACACTTCCCAACAGGGAAAATTGCAGGAATTAACTCCAGCAGTAGTAAGACACACATCCTAAGGTTTCTAGTGTGAAGCCGAGAGGGACTGGCATCCTTGCTAAACTGTGGATCCTTGACTATTAAGAAATGAAAGTGTTCTCGATTAAAATATAAATATTCTTCCACGCGTCGTATTTCAGTTTGAATGACCGCACAGCATTAATTCTAACCGCATTTAGCTGTAATCAGTACTCTGTTTACAATCCCAATAGTCTATAAATCACCATACCCTGAGATGTTGTGGAAACGTGGACGGCCATCAACCCTTGAAAGATCTCCAGTTCAAGACCACATGTTATCTTTTGACCAAATAACGTTCCAAAGTCAGAAGGATAATGAAAACAAATAACTAATACAGGATTTGAGGATTTAAACATTCTAGAGAATGTTCTACATCAAAAGAAGATATTCGCATTCTAGAAGTTGGTATTTCCAGAGTGCTATATTAAAGTAACAATTAATGATAAAAACCGTGTGTAAAGGTGATTGTCAAAAATATAAATAATTGCATTATTTTCCTTAAACTAATAGATATTTGTGAATTGCATTGTCAGAAAAAATTCATAGAGCTGATAATCACATATGACTTAACTTTCTGGGTGTTGATATGCGTGGTCTTAGCTAACATAGTGAGGTGTTTGAGAATACAGGATGTGAAGCCAGACTACCCTGGGTATATGCTCTCCCATCTGCTAGCTTTATAACTTAGGCCAGGTTACTTAAAGGGTGTCAGCTTCCTCGTGTAGAAAAAAGGGAGAGCATAGTAATGACATTTCCTTCATAAGTCTCGTTGTAGAACTCACGACTTAAAACATGGAAATCCCATAGCACATAGAATGAGAAATGCTAGCCATTATTTTCATACACATTTTTCTTGTTAATTCTGAGATTTTTCTATAAGTAAGGCTTTTCATTATATAAATAAATATTAGAGCTCATGATAAAATATGTAAGGATAGTGAATGTCCTTTCTCTTCACCTTCTGACTTGGCCAGGAAACTTCCTTAAAGGCAGTGGCTCTCAGCTTTTCCTTACGTATCCTTCCAGAATTTTCAATGCACATGACACCATGTCTGAAATCTTGGCTTGTCTCTTCATCTACAAACCCCAGAGGAATCTTGATGTGCAAGAAATGCCACATTCTCTTATTTTAAAATCAACTTGGATTTCTTCAGAGACAACATCCTAACAGCATGCTATGATTGAAGGGGCCCCACATTACCTGCTACCTGCCCGTCACCCCCCTCGCACCAAGAGGTTGAGAATTCCCCAGGTGTTCTAGGAGATACGAAAGGTTTGGGGTCCTCAGATCTTGCATCACACTTGTTAC